AAAAATAAAATCTTTTGTGAACAAGCAAGCACTCAGAGATTTCATCACCACCAGGCCTGCTTTACAAGAGCTTCTGAAAGAACCATTACAAATAGAAAGGAACAACCAGTATCAGCCTTACTAAAAAATGCCAAAAAATAAAGAACATCAGCATAATTAAGAAATTGCATCAATTAATGGGCAAAACAGCCAGCCAACATTAAATGACAGCATCAAACTCATATATATTGTTATTAATTCTAAATTTAAATAGACTAAATCCCCCAATCCAAAGACACAGACAGGCAAAAAAAGCCAAGACCCATTGGTATGCTACATCCAGATCCATCTTACATGCAAGGATACACAAAGACTCAAAACAAAGGGATGGAGAAAAATTTACCAACCAAATGGAGAGCAAAAATAAATAAATAGAAAGCAGGAGTTGAAATTTTTGCTGATAAAATAGACTTCAAAGCAACAAAGATCAAAAGAAGCAAAGAAGGATATTACATACAGATAAAAGGATCAATGTAACAAGAAGAGCTAAAGATCCTAAATATCTATGCACCCAATACAGAAATACCCAGATATATAAGACTTATAAAGAGACTTGGACTCCCACACAACAATAGTGGGAGACTTACAGATCAGTGAGACAGAAAGTTAACATTGATATTCAGGACTTGAACTCAGATCCGGAACAAGTAGACTTAATTAACATTCATAGAACTCTCCATTTTAAATACACAAAATATACACTCTTATCAGTACTACATCACACGTTTTTACAGGTTTAAATGAAATATTGGTTGGCTGCTTGTTAATTATTTTCTTCCCTCTTTTTTTTATGTCTCTATTATTAAACATAATTACAGGCATACCCATTTTTAGACTGCATTTTGGCCCGGGCAATAATGCAACACCCCTGTTCTCTCTCCCTCTTCCTCTTCCTCTTTCTTCCTTTCCTTTATTCTTTTTTTTTTCTTTTTCTTTTTTTTATTCTTTTCATTTCTTTCTCTTTCTTCCTCTTAAAAAAAAAAACAACTCTACTGTGCATAATTTATATTTTAAAAAATAGTTCTGAATCTATATGCTTATCTCTGTGTAAAATTCTTTTGTTAAGTTACACACACATACTGATGTTGAGCTTTGAGTTTTTAAGTATAAAATCTACAGGAAACATTTATACAGGAGTAATCATTATATTTTTTTCAACATACTTGTCTCCTAACTACTATTGACATTCTCTTATCAACATTTACACAGTACCACATGGAACACTGTATAAGCAATACCACATGAAAAATGTACTTCATAATCAAGTGCTATGAAAATATTTTCTTAATGATTATATTCCTCTTTTATACTGTGTCTGAGGGAAACTCTCAGTTCCATTAGAGACTTAATCATTAAAAATACCATGACCCTGGACTTTTCTCACTGAACTTTTTGTCCACATTCATGTTATTTTCTCCATATCAGTGATTTTTAACTTTTCTTTAGGATCGCTTCCTGCATCTGTTAAAATTCAGTCAATTATTTTGTGAAAGAAGATAGGCTATTATTTAGGAAATAACTGTAATAAGGTGTAAGTGCAGTAATTGAGATGTGAAGAGGGTGCTATGATAGCCTAGGGTTCACAGTAACTCCCTCTGCCCTTGCAGATC